GGGAAGCTGGTGGCTGCGGGAGGACGCCGCCGCCCTACGCGGACGCGGACGCTGCCGGCGCCCGCCGGTGGTCCCAGGCCTCCCCCCAGGTCCCCGGCCCGGAGGACCGGGGCGGCCTCGGGCCTGGCCAGGGCCAGGGCTCTGCGCTCACTCTGGGGACAGCGGGGCGCAGCCGCCAGTTTGCCTTACGTAAGCTCTCAGACTCGGGGTCTCCACGCTCCCTCCGGCCAAGGGAGCAAGTCTGAAAGGTGACCTGTTTTCTGGGCCGAAGGGGCCGCTCGAGGCCCTCCCCTGGTGGTTTGCTAGGGGCCGGTCGTCTTGGCCAGTGGGACTGGAGTGATTTTCCAACCTCTCCCCCTAGTCTTTGTTGCGCTGGGTTTGCGACAGGGCCGTGCACGGGATAATGGAAAAACGAGGGGACCTCTGGATATGGAGTCCCGAGCGCTGCGAGCCGAGCTTGCCCTCTAACCCAGTACACTTGATGCAGTTGGGGTGCAGGCTTTGAGCCGACTTCCCGCACTCAGTCGTGTCCCCTCCATTTACGAGTCGTGTGCCTTTGTGCAGGTTATCTGGCCGGTGTGTTCTCCCATCTCGAAATCAGATACAGTGCCCTGAGCGAGTGTACTTAGCTCATCAGCAGTAGCTGTCAGCATCCTTTTGCGCTCCCGGACCGGTGCAGTCTGCCCTCTTGTCGCGATTTCTTCTCCTGTACAATGGAGTAACAGTGGCCACCGTGTAAGAGAGACAAGGCTTTGGAGGCGAACACTGTCACCCCAGTCTTCTCGCTAAGGAAACTGATGGCCTGATGCCTAAAATGAGTTCCCAGGAAAAGAAAGACAGCAAAGGGCTGCCCACCCCACCCCAACTTCTTTTTTCCCCCCCAGACCTAGTTTCAGGAAGTGGTTGACACACCTGGGCTTCCTCCCAGCCAAAGTGCCCCACCTCTGAGTCCCGAAACAGGCCCTCACGGTGCCCGGTGCCCGGCCCTGCACAAGCTGGGTGTGCTCACCCAACGGATATGTTTGTTCTTCTCGCCTTTCCTGCAACCCCAGGCCACTTTTTTGCAGCCAGTTATAAATGTTAACTTACAGCGTGGATGACGCTGCAATTTATCATCCAAACCCAGATTTGAGCGTGCTCTGTGACACATGCTATTAATAAATTAACCAGGCACAAAAGGTACAAACCTGGATGGATAGTCACCCTACTTAGAACCGAGAGTGTCCTTAGATAGCTTCTAGAATCGGGAGGAACCCACTTACTGTGCAGGCTGGAGTGAAGAAAGGCAGGGATTTCTTAGCGGGCAACAGCCCTATAGCCTTGGTGGCCTTTACTTTTCTGCGGGGAGAAACAGTTGAGCGAATCAGGTTCTTTCCGTAGTAGCACAGGAATACCACGCTGGGCCTTCTTCGCTCCATAAAATGACTATAAGAAGTCAAATTCTTTCTTCTATGCCCCCTTTACTTAAAAAAAAATAAACAAAAAAAAACCTTGTGAGAGTCAGATTGTTTTTTCCAATGCCACTTGGCACCAATGGGGTCCTGTTTTCTTGACATTTACAGTCTGATTTTTTTTTTTAAGTTTTGTTAAAGGGTGGATTGCCAGAAAGAGACAGAGACAGAGAGAGGGAGTGAGGAAGCACCCCTCAAGGGGGTAGCCATGCCGCGATTCCTTCTGCTGTGTTCCCTTCTCGGGACTCTGGGCACACAGGCATGCCTGGGTCCCCTTGTAGGACCCAGCTACTCCAACCACCATGCCACTGGCTGGCTCTGCAGTGTGGCGTTTGCAGTGGCTGGAAGACTCCTACCCAACAGTGAACTATGTTACAGAGTTTCTCACGCTCTTTGGTTTTAGCTTTAAAAATTCTTAGGATTGGGGCCAGCAGGTGGTGTGGTGGTTAAAGGTGCTGGACTCCCACATGGCTGATCGCAGTTCAAGTCCCGGACCTGGGGGCTTGCTTTGTCGCTTTCCCTCTCTCTCTGTCTCTTTCTGATCAAAAAACTGGAAAATAATAATAAACAAAGTTAAATAAAAATAATTCTTTTTCAAAAAGGGGGAAATTGGTAGGGTTGTTTTGGCCTTCCTTACTTCCGTTTTCAGGTAGGGCAGTTCCTCCTGAACTATTCAGGTAGTACCTATACCTTCCTTTAGGTCCATCTGTACTTTCTGCTACGGTTTGTTCACCCCACAAACACTGGGCCCCTGGGCACCTGCTGTGAGCCAGGCCTTATGCTGGCCACCACCTCTAGGAATGTGTCTACCATGGGTACCTCACGGAAGTGGACTCATGCAGTGTATGTCCTTCGTGTCTGGCTTATTTTACTTAGCATAATGTCTTCAGAGTTCATCAATATTGTAGCAGGTGTCAGAATTTATTTCCTTCCTCTGCTTTTGCATACCTAACTTTCACACTGCACCCCAGATTTGGACCAACCACTGAGCTGCGTTTGAGCTGCAGTGCCACCTGGTGGTCAGTTAGGGGCATCCTCTGCCCTATTGTGTATACGTATTTTTTTGGAGTAGTGTCCCTGTGTTTTGTTTTTGTGCTCACAAACGGGCCAGTTAATTCTCAGGCCATCCTTCTCACACAGGTCCAAATATCACTGATTACTACTCCCCTTGCAGTATCTTTTCTAAAGGAGAGGAATTTATATCTGGAAAATGTATTTGGCTCCGTCCTTTCCCCTGATTCACTCAACACCGCAGGGGATGGGTGCATTAAGGAGCAGGGTCACTGTGGAGCAGGTCGTTCCCCGTCCCTGGCGTGACCTCTTGCTCTAGTATATTTTGGGCCTATTCAGTAAGAACACCTGGGCAGGACCTCGCCCAGCAGTCAGTCACCAGTCAGTCCCATCTCCCCCTCACCCTGCCTTCCACTCCTCTTCCTGTGCTCTCTCTCTCCACCTGAGGCTGGGTGTGTGCGGGAGGCCGGTGTGGCCAGACCACTTGTACTGTGGCAGGAACACCTAACATTCAGGCCCTGCCATCTGAGAGATCAGGATTTCCCTCCAACAGTTCACTACATGGAGGGGAAGGTTGCTTGCACAGATTAACAAATTCTGCATCCCGTTTCCCTACTGGCTACTGACCTTTGGCTTATTTTCCAGATTCATGGAGAAGAGCACTAGACCCCTAATCCCCTTTTCTTAGATCCTTCCATGGTACAGTCATTAGGGCATATGTTTGACACCGTAAGAGCTGAACTCGCGGTGTCATCGGCTCGGTTCTGCTCAGCTGGTAACTATGCCACTCCAGGCTTTCAGTATTTTGAATACCACCCCTGCCTGATCCCAATTACTGCTAGAGACTCAAGTGTCACCCTTCTGTGTTGTGGAGTGACACAAGCCTGAATAAACTCAAGGCGGGACACTCATTAGATCGGAGATTCAGTTTTACTGTCTGTACTGGTGGCATTTGGATTAACCCTAGGGCAGTGAGAGGCTAGCGGCTTCGCTGAGGCCGTGACCTGGTTCAGACCTGGTGCAGCGTCTCAGCTCGTCTGAGTGCTCTTGGCTCCAGACTCTTCAATTTGTTTTCCATATGGCTCCCAGTTTAACTCTCCCGAGTGTCTCACTGATGGATCCAGATGGTGCTATGGCAGACAGACACCAGGAAGTCGGAGCTGCTTTTTCTAGTATACGTCTGGGTTCCGATTCTTGCCCTGACCCTGTATGTGACTGCAGACGAATCGGGTCATTCCTGAGCCAGGGTTTCCTCTTATTTAAAGTAGGAATATTCTTATCATCATCACATCATCCCTTCAGTCTGTATCCTCCTGTAATCTGTGTTAAATTGTGCTGCAAAGTTGTTCATCTCTGCAAGTCCAAAAGCTCTAAGAGCAAGGACTTATTATATATCTCTATGCATGTATTATATAATCGTCGCATCAGTGACTCACCTGGTTCTTGGTTAACAGTAGGGCATTAGTAAATCAGTTTCTCCAGAGTTGAACGGTATGCAGTTCCAAAGACCAAGATAAGTCTCACATATCAAAATGTTGAAAAATGCAGCAGGTCCAGATGTTTTCACATCAGTGGACTGTAAGCTGAATTGATTTCGTCCTTCAATGAAACTCAGTAGCCCTGGAACTTTTTACACAATCCCAACCATTTCCAAACACTAAATGACTTTCATTCTCTCCAGACTGTGTGAGCCAAGAATCCCAGCACTTCTGCACCTTCACTTGGCAGCTGGCAAAATGAATGACCAGAGTGACCCCTCCCAACGGAGCACATGATCGGCCACAGCTGTGCATGTTTTTTTTAGCATGACTGCACCAGGACAGGGCAGCAAGCCACTGGGTGGAGTAATGTGCTCTAGGGAGAAAGCTTATGACATTTCCCCGATGCTTTCAGAAAAGAAAAGGAAAAAAAAAAATCCTTTCTTTCATAGGAGTTGTTTCTGCTCAATGTCAATAGGAAATGTTATAGCATGTTTGCATATTGAGGCCTGTGGGAATATACAGACTATCAACCACCACTCCAGTGGAAGATTGATTATTTTTGTTTCTTTGTTTTTGGTGGAGAGAGACAGAGGGAAAGTGAGAAATCTACCCCCCCCCGCCAGGGGAGATGACCACCTAGCAGTCCCCTCACTATTCTGTGATTTTGGGTACATGCACATACCTGGTGTGTTTTTCAAGCCACCAGGTCCAGGACTTGAAACGTAGAGCTGGCTATGTGGGATCCAGCACCTTAACCATCACGCCACCTGTTGGCCCAAGAAGCCATTTTAAAATAATAATAATAAACAGTAATTTTTTTAAAGTCTTTTGATTCGAGGAGATTAAATTATAATGACAGCCGGTTGAACTGAATCCTCTCCAATGAGCAGGAAAGCCTTAGGCCGATCTATTTATGATCTTCTGAAAAAAGTTGCTCTGCCACTAACTTCTAACGGGCTGTTCTCAAAGGAAACTGCAGAAGACAAGGTGGGGTCTCTTAGAGCTAAGACAGTCTCCAAAACTTCCAGCTCCAAATCTTTTCACACGCTAGGAACTGAGGCCTCGCGGGACTCTGGCGGTTTCTGGAGGCCCGGAGGCAATGTTTGGACCTGGCCTGTGAGTTCCAAAGAAAAAAGTCGGCCATTTAAAGAAAGCTTAAAAGAGCAGTTCAGGGACCCAAGGATGGGTTAAACAGCCCAAGGGACGGTGCCCGCAGCGCGGGGCGGAGCTAAAATGGAAGGGGCGGGGCTTCCGGAGGTGGGGTCTGGAGGAAATCGATGGGGCGGGGCCTGATAGGCCAGGGAGGCAAGGAGGTGGAGCCACGGGGCCCGCGGAGACTCACGTGGTCTGGAGGCGGAGCCCGGTGGCTCGCGCAAGTCACTCGGTGGCGGCGGCGCGGCGCTACGCGACGAAGATGGCGGCCTCCTGGGTGCGGGTGGCCGTGGTCCTGCTTTGTGCCTCTGACTTGCTGCAGCTACTGCTCCTGCCGCCTGGGGCCGACGCGGCCGAGGGCTCAGCCGGGATGCCCAGCGAGGCCACCCCACCACCCCAGAAGAAGAAGAAGGACATTCGCGATTACAACGATGCAGACATGGCGCGGCTTCTGGAGCAGTGGGAGGTCCGCGGCGCGCGTACACCCTACCGGCTCCGATCGCGGGCCGCTTTCCTCTGACCCCTGACCTGCTCTGTCCCGGGACCCTTCTACCCCTGGGTCGGGATCTTCTGGCCTCCTAACTTTGTCCCGTGTCACGAGTCCGTACTGACAGCCACAGCTGAGCCTCCTTGCCTTTTCCGACCTCCTCCCCAGGCCCCTCTTCCAAGTGCCCTCTTCCACGGCCACCGTTTCTAGGGGCACTCCCATCACGGGTCTGCCGTTCACTATTCAGCCCTGCTTTCCCTTCAATGCCTGGTCGCTTCTGCGTTGATTCCCCATGAGCAGGGAGCCCTGAAAACGGGGAAAGAGACCTTTGCCACTTAGCTCCTGAAACCATTTCTTCAGTCCCCCCCTTTGTTTCGGGGTGAGTTGTGTGACTGTCAAGAGGAATGCCTAAGCTTTCATAGTTCTGTCTTGTAAATTGGTGGCATTTCAGACTTCAATTTGGTGTGTGTGCCTCCTGGAAGTGTTTTGATTGTGGGGGAGTGGGTGAGGAGAGCAGTGGGGTGAGAGGTGCTCCTCTTTTTCGTTTGGTGGCTATTAAGCATTTCCCCTAGTTAGTGCATTGTCTTCCGTAGGTGTACTTTTAAATGGCTTTGAAAGGTGCCCTGGAGGGGATGCGCTAGCTGTTGGAGATTTTGGGATAAGGAGTGTCATTTATCAGTGAGCAAAGTTTAGGATGGATGAGCTTGGAATTTGCAGAGCCAAAGACATTCAATGAATTCTCATGTAATTCTGATGGTACATTGGCCAGGGAGGTACTTATCCCTGTGTTTGTTACAGATGGTGACATCGAGGCCCAGAGATGTCATTTTCCTAGTCACACAGCCCGTGAGCTGAGCTTCAGATGACTTCAGAGCCGGTTCTTTAAGCCATTTTCATAGGCTGCCACACACCGGTAAACAGAGGTGCAAATGAAGCACAGTGAGGTTCTGAGGAAGCCAGAAGCTGCAGGAGGAAGAAGAGCGATTGTATGTTCTTCTCAGGCCGTGGGTGTTGGTCAATGATATGAACAGGACAGTGACAGAATAATACAGTGAAAGCGCAGAGGTCTGAATTGAGCTTTTTCCCTGGGTAGCCAAGTGACCCTCATTTCACGGTTCTATAGAGGCAGGTCGTGTCCCATTTTCCAAAGGGCCCTGCAAATTAAAGGAGCTAGTGTTTGTGGACACTCCAGATTGAGCACCCAGGCCCAGCTGCAGTGCTTTTCCTATGGGAGAACGTATCTATCTCTGTGGCTACTCTGTGGGAGAATTTCGACCCCCCCAGGGTTGATGTCTAAATCCACACCCCCACTCCTTCCCCACAGCGGTGTGGAGAGAAGGTGAGGAAGCCTTCCACTGTGTTAGATCCAATGCTGACACCCGGTTCTGAAGGTGGAGATAACCTCTGTAAAATGCTGGGGGACACAGAACCCACTCGGCAGATGTAGTAATAATATTGGGGACCCCGGGAGGAACAGGATTTGCAGAAAAGGGGAGCTCAGCTTCATAGCTGTGGACTTAGAACAGAGAAGAGATGAAACCACTTGAAACGCAGGACTGGCCTAGAGGCAGGGCTGGGACTGGGGTTAGGGGAGTGGTCCCAGCCCTGCTGTGGGCTAAGGAGGATTGTTTTAGTTTAGAGAAAGTTATGGAGATTAGATTACCCAGTGACAAAAATAGGACAATTCCCTGCAACTAATGTACTTTTTTTTTTTTTTTTTAAGATTTGCCAGAGGTAGACCATGCTCCCAGAAGGGAGAGGGGGAATAAACACCCTAAGGGGGCATGGTCACACCACAGTCGCCTCTTTCCTTTCTCCAGAGAAGGAGAAATGGAGAAAGCGAGCTGCCATGTGGGAGTCCAGCGCCTTAACTGCCACGCCAGCCGCTGGTCCCTGCAGATGTTTCTGCCCAGACCAGTTGGAAGACAAGTCTCTGTCCCTACATTGGATGCTTTTCCCCTGTCTTGATAGAAAGACGATGACATAGAAGAAGGAGACCTTCCGGAGCACAAGAGACCCCCAGCGCCCGTCGACTTCTCCCAGATAGACCCGGGCAAGCCCGAAAGCATACTGAAGATGACCAAGAAAGGGAAGACCCTGATGATGTTCGTTACAGTGTCGGGAAGCCCCACGGAGAAGGAGACGGAGGAAATCACGAGCCTCTGGCAGGGCAGTCTTTTCAACGCCAACTACGACGTCCAGAGGTAAGGTCCCAGCCACCTGCGGGGACATCAGGCACTGCCGGGGCTGCTTCTGAGGCTGCAGCAGGGTGTCCGCCCCAACAGGACTTCCTCGGGGCTCGGGACTTTTCCTGGCAGAATTTCTTTTAAATTTATTTGTGTGTCTAAGTGTTTGTCTTTAGAGAAGAGCGTTCGTTATTGGGCAAAGCCAGTAAGTTGGTTTGTTTTGATCCTGAAGTTCTCTCTCTCTGCATCTTTAGCTTTCATCGTATCCAAGTAGAAAGTTGTAGAGTTTAGTCTGTCTGGGGGACAGATTAGTTGCAGCTTGACAAGTTGCTTCTTCTAGAAGTTTCTGCCCACTGGAACCATGCTATTAACAGAAACTAATTTACCATGAAGGGGGTAGTTGACGTAGCTCAGTATGACCCTGGGGCTCAGTTTTAAGGACTCTGCTTTATCTCCCCCACAACAGCAGTTGTGGAATTTGGGCCTTCAAGATATCTTAGTTTAGGAAATATCAAAGTAATGAAATGGAAGGAGTACCCAGAGAGTGTCTAGGCCAGCACAGAGCCTCCTTAGCTTAGATACTTGACGAGAACAAGTCTTGGCAGGGACTGGTCCAAAGGTATCGCTGGTCTCACTGCAGTGGTGGGAACCTTATGAGCTGAAAGGTGATGTGGTCCAGCCCCTCGTGAACAGAAAATCGTGCCTGCTAGCCACACCAGCGGTCCACCCAGACTCCATCCTCCTCCTCTTTGCCCCTTGGGCACCATCGTGTGTAGGTGAGCTGCACGGCTTGCTTTTAACAGCTGGGGTGGGCCTCCTGTCTAGTAGCATCCTCTGGAGGCCTTTAGCGTCCTCTTCCCATGCCCACTCAAAGCCTGTGGGTTTTAGCCTTTATCAGCAGAAGACTTCAGGCCAACAGAACTGTAACCGTACACTTCAGGATGTGAAAGTGCTCTGAACGCCCTGCCCTGCTCTGCCCTGCCCACCGCAGCTCGAGCCACCCTAAGGAGCTGTTCCTAATGCGCTTCTCCAGCACCCACTTCCTCCCCAGAGGAACATCCAGGGTGTTTCTATTTTGGTCTGAGCTGGATGTGTAATATTAATAGTTCGGCGAGCCAATATTTTTAAACACTAGATGCCAATAGCTGGTAGGCCTTGGAGAGTTTTGTTCTGCGTTCACGTAGAATCTGAAATGACCTACTTTTTCTGGTTAAGTGGCACCCGATCGCTCTGACCCGTTAGCTCCCTACTAACTAGTCCGTGCCAACCGTGTGACTGCCTCTCTCTGCCAAGGTTCATCGTGGGATCAGACCGCGCTATCTTCATGCTTCGCGACGGCAGCTACGCCTGGGAGATCAAGGACTTTTTGGTCAGTCAAGACAGGTGTGCCGATGTGACTCTGGAGGGACAGGTGTATCCTGGCAAAGGAGGGGGAAGCAAAGAGAAAAACAAAACCAAGCAAGAGAAGGGCAAAAAGAAGAAGGAAGGAGATACAAAATCTCGGGCTTCCAAGGAAGACAATCGAGCCGGAAATAAGAGAGAAGACCTGTGAAGGGGCAGCCCCGGCGTTCTGTGAGGAGCAGGCGTGGGACACAGAGAACTCCTTGCTGCCTCGTGGAGCGGGGGCAGGAGCAGGAAACCGCACACTGGATGACATTCTAGTTTCTTCTAGAAAGGGTCTGCCATGTGACCAGTTTGTGGTCAGCATAAGAATTGTTGTTCTAAAGGCTTCAAGTAGAAAGACCTCGGTTTTCTGCTTAATACTGGACAGTATCACTTTTGCTATGAAATCACCTTCCATGGAAACTTGACCACGTCGCTTTTTCCCGTTTGAATTTGGTGACTCGTCCACTGCCAGGGTACCACTCTCCTCGTTGTCGCACCTGCTCCTGTTGGTGCTTTTTATCTTCCGCGTCTGCTTTTTATTTTCTGTTGACTTAAAAGGACAGCAATTTCTAATCAAACAAGCTTTTCAAACTCTTGAGTCAGACTCTTTGTGCCACAAGCATCATTTTTTTTTTTTTTTTAATTCCTGAGAATGTAAAAAAATACTATGGGAGCCCTGCAGGTTGCTCTTATACCTGTATGCCAGGTGTCGGGAAGCCAGGGCGTGTAGATTCACAATCTACCCAGGAAATGCAGAGAACAGGAAATGATGTCTCTTGGACATCCTAAGAAGTTCCTTGGACTCGATTGTACTGGTCAGTTAAGGAGAACTATGGTGTTGGCCAGCTTTGCTGTGGCCTGTGAAATTCAGAGATCTGTCTTGTTTCCTTACTTAGGAAAGAGTCATGGTGTCAAGGATTTATATATTCCATTGAAGGGGACAGTTTTTAAGATGGATAAAACTATGCAGGGTGCAGTAGAAGAGTAGATCACCTCATTTATCTCTAAACATCTTTGTTTTGATAAAGTGCCTAAATTTGTGGTGTTTTTGTACGGTACTAATATGATGCGCTATTGCTAATGTCTGATTTTGCTGTCCACGTGTTGGAGCCTACTCTGGTAAGAGTTTGTATTCAGATGTCATTTTGAAGAAGTAAAATTCTTTGGAGAAAAAAACCCTTAACTGTAATTTTAAGAAATGTAAAATAAGGCATGATCGAACTCGAAAAACAAGCGTCAGTGTTAAGGAATGGCGGGAAGCAGAAGGTATATCCCTACTCTGTTGCCAGCACCTTGCTCCAGTGGTCTCTACTGTTGACCTTTCGTTTAAAAAGAAACAAAGTAACTGACCAGCATCTAGTAATGTGTGTGTGTGTTGGGCTCACAGATCTGTTACCCAGTATTTTAGTAACTGCACACATTTTCCCCCCATGAAACACTCCCTGTGCAAATTTAGTTCTCAGCTCAGGATGGGACCTTAGGCCCGCCCCTGGAGGCCACGCCTCCTCCAGGGATTGGCCCTGCGGCCTCCAGGCCACGCCTTCGGGGGGATCCTAGGTCTGGAGCTTTAGACAGACTAGTCAGCTAACCCAGGGTGGGTTTGCTTCTGCCGCTGCAGGAGGCGGTGTCTTGCCTCATGGGCCTTTTGAACCTGGGGGCTGCTGTCCTCTTGCTCCTGGAGGGGATTGCTCTTTGAATGGAGCTGCCCCCACAGCAAGGAGAAGCCAGGAAAGAGCGCCGCCTCGGTGAGACTGAGCCTGAATGCGTGCTAGGAACAAGCCTTGTCACCTGCATTCTTCCATTTTCACATAGGGTGATCTGTTGGGCTTCTGTCCTCTAGCCATAATGGGGCAGTATAGCACAACTATCCTGCTCATTTCTTTTCCTTTTTTTTTTTTTTTAAAAATATATATTTATTTATTTTTACTTACTCATTTATTTTTAGTTTGACCAGAGAGAGAGAGAGGGAAAGTGAGAAAGCAAGCCACCAGGTATGGGACTCGAACTGCAATTGGCCCATCAGAGTTCTGCACCTCAACCAACATGCCACCTGCCAGCCCCCTGGTCGTTTCTTTTTTGGGGGGGAGAGGTTTTTGCTATAGGGCGCGTGCGCTCACCAGACAGACAGAGACACACAGAGAGACAAAGTAAGAAATCATCCCCCAGGGGGGATGGCCACGCCGCAATCCCTTCTCCATTCTCCTCCTTGGGATCTTGGGCACGCACGGACACACACCCGGCGTGAATTTAAGCCACCGGGTCTGGGACACGAACCGTGGTCAGCTACATGGGAGTCCAGTGACGTACGCGTTACGCCAACTGCTGGTCCCCCCCCTCCCCCTCGGTCATTTCTTTCTTCATTTTTTTAAGCTTATTTCTTTTCTTTCATGAGACTGAAACAGAGCCAGCACCCCCAGCAGGGTCCTGATGCCACAGTCCACCCCTAGCTGCAGCTAACTTTGGATTGTGGGTGCACACATACCTGATACTCAGAGAGGTCACTCGACATGAACCGGAACCCTCCCATGGGGTTAACCTCACAGAGCACAGCATCACCACCTAGCCCCTGAATCTTTTTTTTCCTTTTTCAAGAGACAGTCTTGCTGTGTTGTCCAGGCTGGCCTTGAACTACTGATCCTCCTGCTTCAGTTAGTAAGGAGGAGGCTAAGCATGCACCACCACACCTGGCTGGTGAGTTGTTTTTTTTTTTTGAGAGATTTTTGCTATAGGGCACGTGCGCTCACCAGAGACAGAAAGTGAACATCCCCCCAGGGGGGATTGCCATGCCACAGTCCCTTCTCCATTCTTCTCTTGGGACTCTGGGACATGGGAATCCAGTGACATGACCCCTACGCCATCTGCTGGTCCCTGGTAAGTTGTTCTAAGTAAGCGGAGGAGAGCGGAGGTTTCACACTCCACGTGCTGCTAGTTTCCACTGAGACGAGACGTCTGTCTCGGGGAGACGGTGCAGCCACTTCAGCCAGGCCTGC